TATACATCCACACTTACCTCTAAGCCACACACAGGCACACACGCATAAATACATACATATATAGGTATACATCCACACTTACCTCTAAGCCACACACAGGCACACACGCATAAATACATACATATATAGGTATACATCCACTCTTGATGGTCCTGGATGGTGCCTTGTCAGTCTCTGTCCTGGCACAGGGCCCACTTTGTGGGCCATAACTGTGTGGCTTCCACATCCAGCACATTCGGTAATGAGTCACAGAGTCCCCATCTTAGAAAATGATATCCTCTGAAATTTAATTGAAAGCCCAGAAAATCAGCCAAAGAACTGTCTGGGAAAATGCTACTGTGCTGCCGGTCGCCTTGAGGGGGTTGTTGTGTGGGACAGAATAAGAGCAGTGCTTGCAGTCAGAGGAGAAAACACATTTATCACATTCCCCAGCAGGTATTACATAAACACAGTGCTACAGCTTGTCCCCCTGCCTGTCTGGGGTTAGGAGGGAGTCTCACTGCTTCAGTGTCCAGTTTGCTGCTGCCTGTGTTGCTTTGGATGGAAGCACTTACTGAAAAACCATGATTGTACAGTAAAGAAAAACCACGTGATGTGCGATTCATGAACCTCGGCGCTGCATTGCTACTGATTTTCAAGCTCTTGGTAACATTTCTGCTCTCTGTGAGGGAAAAAGCAGCTGTAGTTTTCGTTATCTTGTGAAAAGACCAGGCAGAAAACAGTCAGAAAGTCCAGTATGGAAAAAGGGGGGGGGGGCAGTGTGTTTCTGAGCTCTCTGGGTAATCGCTACGGCCAGAAATAACTGATGAATGTGGCCTGTGGCGCTGTCACATCTCTCGCTAGGAGCTGAATGTCAGGTGGGCTTGTTCTTCTTTGGAACGTCGTCATTATTAATGTTATTACTACACACTCACATTAGGGCGTCTTCCTCCAGGGCTACATTGTTTCGGGCAAATTAATATAAAAATGAGGATGGAACAGTTTCTAGTTACAGAGCCTGAGATGTCTGCTGAATCTGCAGAGGATCCTCCAGGGGTGTCAGCATTCACCGGCTCCGTGAGTCACGCTCGCCGCTGGGGACGCGGCACCTTTCTCGCGTTGATGCCCGTCACGTCCGTAGCCAGAAATAAATTTCGGCGGGGGGTGGGTTACATGCCTGATGCCCGTGGCTTTCAGGATACCGGCACAGCAATATCGCTGCTGATTCAGGAAACAGCTGCCCCACGAAAATGCAGTGTGAAGGCGGGGTCTAATACTCCACAGAGAGCTGACAGAATGCAGTGTGCAGGCGGGGTCTAATACTCCACAGAGAGCTGACAGAATGCAGTGTGCAGGCGGGGTCTAATACTCCACAGAGAGCTGACAGAATGCAGT